CAGGAGCCAAACCTGTCCAAAAAACCCACCTCTGTACTTTATTCGTGTGTATGTGAATATGAGGAAGCAATTACCGCTCTGGTTCCATTTCATGTGGATTTTAAAGACAAGGCCTTATTGTAAAGACTATGGATTAAACTACAAACTTATGGGCCTGTGACTAGGTAGTTAAACCATAAGACGTGTAAGAAACTCATTAAATTTACAGGCACAATCAAGGTACAGCCAACAGCTAAGGTCAACCTTAATGATTTTACAAATATTTTTAGACATTTAAAAGTTAACTGAGAGTCTAAAATCATCCCCAAATCACTGATAAGCCATACCATTATGACCACTGGCAGCGTGAAGTGAATTAACACTGCTCAGATTGCAGCAAAAAGTTAATGTGCGGTTCTGAAAGGTATCAGAACACCACAGTGCATCGCCAGTGTTGTTGCGTAAGGGCTGCATAACATTATGACCACCACCCTGGTGGCTGATTGGCGTATGTTGCGTACTGGTGTACTTGTTCAATGAGCTCACCTTTAATTCTAACATGGTGATCAATGTACAAAGACTGGGTCCTTGCTGCAGTGGCTATAGGTTTGAATCCAATCTATCTGTGGCGCTTAGCCGTGTATCATCCCCTCTCTCTCTCACTCCCCCTATCCTGTTTATTTTTAGCTGTCTTATCCAATAAAGGGTAGCTGCAGGTTGTCTAGAAACATGTCAGTGACTGGTTTTGTTCTGGTGTTGTACTTCGGTCTGAGAAGTCTATTCAACAACTACAGTCCAACAAACGGCTATGCACTGCCTCAGTACAAAATTAGGGCACTGAGTGACACAAGTGTAATATATTACACTGTATAGTGTATAATCTATTATATTATACTATAATACAGTATATATGTATTACTATATATTTTAAGATCTGAAAAATTATGCAATCCTTGACTCAAAACCGTGATACAATCCAGTTTTGTGATCCGTGGTACCTCTTGCCTTCATGTGTGTCACGTGCTGCAGGTGTGTGTTGCCTTGTAGTGTCAGCAAATATGAACGTCAGGAGCAACAGACTCGGCATAACGAAAATACAGTCTGAAACAGTAAAAATCAACAACACTCACCTTCAAGTTCTTGAACCTCGATTCCTGCTTTCTTCACTGAGCGATGTAACTCTGGAACATTAAGATGAAAAAAAAATTAAGGTATATTTAACCGCAAACTTAAATAACAGGTGGAAAATTCATCTACAAAGCCACAACAAAACACATTTCCGTATTCTGAATAAGAATTTCAGTTAAAGCACACACACAAATTAAGATTATCATAGCTTACTCTCAGAGGTAAATTTGAAGACTGATTTGTTGCCTGCATCCCCAACAAAAACGCTGCCATCCCTGGTTGCAACTATGTCGTGAGGCATTTTAAAATCCTGCAAATAAAGCAAGATACAGCTCAATGTAAAAGTATAGGCAAGAAATATGATTCTACACCATCCTAAAAACTGCTTTCCAATTAATTACAATGGTCTGGGTATAGAACATGAAATTAGTAACTGGGATAAAGACAAGTCTACAAGCAATAAACTGATGGATAAATTGTTGTGCAACCTTGATAATATGTCAGTGGATACAATAACTGAGGAAGTGTGATAAAAAGTGTGAAGATTACATCCCCGAAAAAGTTCAAAAAGCAGAGAAAAGATTCCAAAAAACACAAAGGCAACTAGAAATTCAGTAGGGTATTTTAACACTAAAAATTTGAAAAGCTGCTGAAATATTTCTTATGAGATAAGATCTTATGTTATCCCTGATGATTGGGTGATTGGTTTAATCTACCGATCTATAAGAAAAACTGTGACTACAGGGGTTGAAATAATTAAAGAGGCTTCACACTTTTGAGCTGGTTGGGTGAAGCACAAACGTACTGAGATTGCAAGCTTATCTATCAAGGTTCTGGATAATTATATCCTTAAGCAGAATGAATTACTCTACCACACAGGCCTTTGTTTGTTTTTTGTCTTTTTGGGGGCTTTTATTGCCTTTATGATAGTGACAGCTAAAGACAGACAGGAAAGGGGGGCACAGAGAGAAGGGATGACACGCAGCAAAGGGCCGCAGCTCGGATTCAAACCCTGGGCTGCTGCAGCAAGGACTCAGCCTCGGTACATGGGATGCCAGCTCTACCAACTGAGCTTACCGGGCATATGACTGTTTTGGTTGTGGCTCGCCACAAATGCATAACACTTTATGGCACTAGCCAATTTTTCCATTACAGCACACAGTTTACTACAGATTTTTTCCTTCTACCTTAAACATTATTGTGGCCACAGCTCATAAGTAACCACATATGGATGAGTGACAAAGAGAGAGAGAGAGTATGTGTTTTTACCTTTTTCTCTGGGCTGAAGGTTTCCAAAATATCCTTGGTGGAGTAATCTATTACAAAACCTTTGAGTGGAGCTGAGCGATATGGAGAGTCCCCATTTACTGCAAAGATCAAGCCAGCTTCATGCACACACACACGCACACGCAAAGATAATTGTTAAACACTTACGATTGCACAACGTAGAAGAGAATCAGCCAAGTTAGTACACTCACCTCCGGCAGGGCTGAAAGTGATTGCAAACACTTCCCCTCCAAACTCCTCTTTCTTTATTTCCTTGACAAACTCTCCAGTTGCCGCTATGAAGCACTGGATACGTCCGTTCTCCCTGTCAGCCACACAAACTTCCTGTCTGCTGGGAAGGAACACCAGGCTGTGGGGTATCAGGAACGGTATCCTCCTTCTCCTGTCTGACGAGCCTTCAGTCAGAAAAATAACACAAGATGGCTGAATATGTGAAGATTGTGTTTACTGGTGAATTGGTAGCAGTGATCTGAAACTGCCTGACACAATAAAAAACCTAAATTTCGCAATTTATGGTAGTACTCTATTTAAGACGCTAAGTGAAAAAGTACCGGTAGTAGTATTTTTGGATTTATAGCATGTGTAACCCAGATAACATAATGGGTTACTCTGTAATGGATAGTAGTTGTCCAACCAATTCTAAATGCACAGATACAAATGGATCTTTGGCCTTTCTGTCAAGAACCTTGAGCCAATCCAATGCTGACTTTGTTTTTTGGTGCAGTCCCTTTTCTTTGTTATTCATTCATTCATTGCATGCGCTGTAACCTGTTGCTAGAAGACGCCGAGATGGCTAAACAAAACTTGCAATACAACACTCAAACCTTGAAGAACTGGAACTGGAGCCTCGCACCTTTATTGAAGGAGTTTGGGTTGTGAATGAAATCTCACTTCAGGAATTGTGGAACAATATGCTATGCTAATGCTAAACATACCATGCAACTTGTAATATAGCGTCTTTACTATCAACAGTAATTATTACAACCGACAATGTGCCGCTGCAGGGGAATATGACGGACTTGCTGCTGAATACTGGTGAGCCATGATGGCTTGAATTTTGCTGTGTATGATGTTATGGTGCGTGTAAATGGAGAGGAAAATGCTCATGATTTAACTCCACACCAGTTTACCTAACCAGGTCAGGTTTCTCTGGAGCAACTGACTGGAAGGCGAGCTAGAGGAAGGAACCCCCACAGGAACGCTAACTAGAAAGAAGAAACCACCCCATTGTAGGCAAGCCTCAAGCCTTAGCCCCTTCCCTACTAGTTGTGCCAATTCACAGTCCTTTTTGAACCTTTTTGTACCATTACCCTAAAATGTTTATGGCTTTTTAGCTGGACACCAGCAGAGTGGGGCCAGTGCATTGACAGAATATATAATGGACAGAGTCAGTGAAGTGAAGCCAACGGAATTGTCACAATGCATCCTATGTAATGGCAGCAGCAGGGGGAACTCCATTGGCTGCAATAAAAGACGAATAGCATACAGTCTTGCCTATTTCTCACTTGATTTATTTTCTCAGTAAACCCTTTTCTAATGACTTTATGGTCTCAGTCTCTAGTTTTAAATCTTCAAAAATAGACTGTACACAAGACAATGAAATAACAAGTACTCTCCATTTTCATCGGTTGGCTTTACTGGAATTGAAACTGCGAATGTTTGTATTACGTAAAAAAAATATTTACTTTATTTACACAAGACTGAGAAGGAAAAGGCTCATTGTCTAACAAGACCTGCTTTAAAAAAATCAAGGTTTGTGTGCGTGTGTACGTGTGTGTGTGTGTGTGTGTGAAGGATTCCTACCTGCACCCCACTCAGTCAGGTATTTGCCATCAGCAGAGAATTTCAGTATCCTAGCATTGCAGTATCCATCAGACACAAAGATGTCCCCAGTCTCAGTGTCCACAGCCACATCAGTGGGCTGGCAGAAGTGGCTGTTGTCACTTCCTGGTGTGAAAGCCTCTCCCAGTGTCAGCAAGATTCTATCTCTGCCATCACTGCTGACTTTTAATACCTGATGAGAACGCAAAGGAGACACAACATTCTTCCTGTTGTATTATGGGTTAATGGATTTGACTTGTGTATTGAATTTCAATCTGTTCTGAGCATCGGACCTATTAATTACAAATGACTAAGAACAATTTAATGTTGTATGTAAGTTATTTATAAATAATGATTATAAATAGAGATCTAGATGATTAGTCATCATTAACAGATAATAATCTAAAGTTGATTTTATAGAGCCAGTTATTATTAAAGGTTCACTGTGTAACAGAATAAGAATAGGAGGATCTGTTGGCAGAAATGGAATATAATATTCATAGGTATTTTTTCATCAGTGTATAATCACCTGTAGGTGATATAGGAATCACTGTGTTTTCGCTACCTTAGAATTAGTCGTTTTTATCTACAGACTTCATGTTGAACCGCCATGTTTTAACAGTAGCCCAGAACCAAACACTGTAGGGAAGGGCCTTCGAGTTTTGCGACCAGTTAGACTTAGTTTCTTCTATACACTTCATAGCCTGTTCTTATTCACAGGTCATCAAATACAGAAGCCTCAGTTAGGTTGTGCCAGTGTAGCTTACCTGATGAAGAGCCACATCAGTGACCCAGTAATTATTCTCCTTGTCTGTAGTTATTCCATGAGGCAAGTAAAACCTGCAACATCAGAGAAATGCATCATTAAAAGACATTTGGCTTTCACCTGTATTGCAGAATTGCAGGCTGTATTGTTCACAGTAAAAGAAATACCCGGTTGTCTCTGTTCATACTCAGCACTCTCCTTTATAACAAACAAAACTAAAGCACACTATAACTTGCATGTTTCTGCCAGAAGCCTTCAGGATGTTGCCTTTGACTGGATCCACAACCAAAATAGTGGACTGCTGAATAGGACCAAGGAACCTCTGCTGGTATCTAGCCTGGCTGTTAAAAGATCTGAAAAAACAAACAGAAATAGCTGATTTTAAAAATATTTTTTTGCATTCTTGATTCCGTTCACATTTTTCCAACTATTCATACTTCTCTCTACACTTAATATGTTCAGTTGCCCATTTAAACCTTAACATGTTCCACATCTTCCATACATTATGGGCATTATTTAACTTTTAAACCCCATTCATACTAATTACACTATTTCCTACCTATCCAACTCTTTTCCTCCATACCTTCACATTCCTTCAACAGCGTCTACATACAAATTGAAGCTAACAATTCAGATTTACGAGACAAACTTCTAAAAGCAATGCAGTTTAGCGTCAGTTTTTTCATTCACATTGCAAATCTTTAGAAAGCGCCATCTCTAGTTTTGTTTGTTTGACAGGGAAAGTATAGTGATTTTTTTTAAATCAAATTCATTGAATCTACTTTTTGGTCATTCATTCATGCTACATTGATATAATCTTGCTGCTAACTGCTCTGCCACCCACTGACTGTCAGCTGACTGTCAGTAGTGGCCAAATATAGGCTGAAGGTGGCAAACAGGCAACAGGAGTGAAAGAATAGTTAACTAATTACATGCTTTACTTAGCTCAATAGCAGAAACAATATGTGGATGAATTATAGCAGGCCCTTTCATTATGCAAAGAGTAGCCATTTTTCATCCGTCTAGTTGCTCTAGCGGTGTGATCACAACTGTAAGATCTTATCAATTAAGTTTTGTTCATGTTCAACTGAAAGAGGTCTCCAGATAAACAAATTATATATTGTATACATAACACTACACATTAAGATTTTTCCATTTCAAGGACTGACAAAAGCCCAATATCAACAGAAAAGGATATGTCAGTGAAAGCGACTCACTCTGCCCCCCAGTGGTGGTCACCTCTGTGGAAAATGACCAAGTTAGAATCTGCATCGAGGGCAAGTCCTGACACCTGACCCAGCTGGAGAGAACTCTGAGGCCACGCTGAGACTTGTTCCAAATGGTAGTCTACACCACAGAAACAGACAAACACATGACAAAATCATGAGTTAAGGCACTCCAAACATGGTGTCAAAGGTAATTACTGGCATTCTGTAACTGCTAATAAAAGAGGCTTCATATAGTTCTGTTTTCCTAGAGTTGGTTAATTAGGGACCGAGCACAGCGACCGCTGTGAGGTCCCTATTGTTATTGCTCCGTTTATTATTAGGGACCGAGCACTGACCAGTGCAAGGACCCTATTGTTCCTGTAGGAATTATTATTATTTCCTGCCCATACGAACGCATTTTTGGAGGCCTCAACATATTCAAAAACTCAAGAAACGCGGCACACATGTCAGTGGTGGCGAAAAATTTGATATTCTATGCGTCAATTTTGGGTTTAAGCCCGCCCACTTACCGCCTAGGATTTTTTTTGTTCCTTAGAGCCCGCAAAAATGGTTCCAAAAACGACTTTTTCGTGGTTACTCCTTTACGCTCTTGTCCGATTGTCTATGGGAAATTTTTTACGTCAGCATCTGGGTTCGGGACCGGTCCGGCAAAAAAGTAATTCGGGGAAGACATTTTGATTATTTCAAAAAAGAAGCATGCTATAAAGATTAGCACTTTGCCTGTCTAATATTTTTTGTCAAAAAAGGAAGTGGGGGCATTTTCTTGCCGCCACATTGGGGGGTATGTCCCGATTTGACACCCAAGCTTGGTCCGTAGGTTTCTCCCATGTCCTTCCTAAGGGCATCGTGGCACAATCCCCCAGCGCATCACCACAAGGGTGGGTGCCTTCTTTTACAAATGAAGAAAATTATATCTCCGCATCGGCAGCGTGTTGGATTTAAAATGAAATCTTCGGTACGATGCTTGCCCAGGGCTCCCTGGAGGCGCTCCCCCCAAGAAAGGGGAAAAAATCCTCACTGGCACTCTTGGTGGCCAGGGCTAAACTCACTCTGCCCGGAAACCAATAATAGTTCATGAATATTGGGAAATTTCACAGAATGGTGGTAGATTGGTGCTGTAGCCACATACCAAAAAATCGTGGTTTGTCGGGTGTTTGTAGCGCCCCGCCTACCTGATTTTTAAAAAAGCAGCGCCCCGGCGCCACGGTGCTCACCTTCATATGGTATAAAGCCTGGGTAGGCATGTGTAAGGGTTGCCGGAGGACGTACAAAACAAAGCCTCTTGGACCCGATACCCCGAAAACCCCACAGGAAGGGGTCGCGTCTTTTTTCATTTTTAATTCATCACTCACGCGGCCATTTCTGTTTTTTTGGTCATTTCACTTTTTGGGCTTTGGATTTGAACGAACTTCCTCCTAGGGAAGTTGTCGGCATCTGCTCAAAAGTTAGGTCAGTACAGGTCAGAAAATGGTGCTGAATGGACACCGTTGCTATTTGGCCGACTGTGCGTCTGGCTGCTTTGCCGGTCAAAGTTGGCCATTGAATCGACATTGTCAAAACTGGGTATTCTTTGGCCAATTTTCAGGGCTTCTATTTTAAAATAACTGCCTCCTTACCAGATTTTTATCACATTTGACTTCAAATTTTGGTCAAGTGACAGGGTCAAAAAATTTTGCTCTGGAGATGAACACCGCTACATTTTCCGTGGCGTACGTTTTGAAGGGGCATGTTCCGTTGGGCGGTTGCCGTCAAAAGTTGGCCATTTTGGACAACACCTTCCGGTTGGGCTTTTTTGGTTCCGTTGGGTTTGTGAACATGCATAACTCCAGACAGGGGAAATTTGTCGGGTTCTGCTTCAAAATTCGGTCAGCACCAGTCAGAAAATGGCTGCCTGGAGATGACAGGCCGTGCTTGTTGTGACTGACGTTTGGAAGGCTCGCCGTCCGTGGCGTTCGGCCGTAAAGTCGGCCATTTTGAAGTGCGTGGGGTCTTGCATTTGAACAAACCAAACTCGTAGGGGAAATTTATTTCAGATCGCTTCAAAACCTGGGACAGTATACTGAAAAATGTTGCTGATACAAGTTTGTGCCTATTTTGGCACTGTACGTTGAACGGGGCGGTGTCCGTGGCGTAGCCCGTCAAAGGGGTTGGCCAGGCTTGAATCAAATCTCAAACGGTTGGGATGCCATTTCCGGCATTTATTGGGCTTTCTGTTTTAACAAACCTCCGGGGTTCTACAGATTTTTGTTCAGATTGACTTCGAATTCGATCACTGCAATTTAGACACATTGCGTGATCAGAAAGTTGTGGCTATTTTTGGTGGGACACTGATGTTTAACCGCGTTTTTTTCGCGCCACCGTGGAGGACGTGTTGAATCTCCGGCCGATTGGCCATAAAAACAGATAGGTACTGCCTATCTTCAAGTACCCGAACAGCGCTCCTCACCAACTTCAGTGGTAACATTGTTCCAATCTCAATGAAAAACTTAACACGCTTTTTGATAACAGTCCCGCCCCTGAAACACGTCACATGACAATATCAGACATAGTGGATAGCGGCCACCTTCTGGGCAACAGGAGCAGTTAAAGGCGCTGCCGCGGCGATTCTGAGCTGATTTACCGGTGGAATTTTTCTTTTGCGGGGCCCCCACGTGTAACTGATGGCCACGTGGACCGCGGCGCGGACGCCCCCGAAGTCTGGTGTAGGAAGGCCGGAGGTCCCGCCCAACGCTGCTGCCAGGCTTTTAATTAGGGATGTTAGGTGCTGCCATTTGACACCATTGGACCGGCATGATTGATTCTTTAACAGAACCCCTTGAGCATCGAAATTGGCCATTAAAGGAACCGCACTAAGCTGGTTTTGAGATCATTACTTACAGATGCGGTTTTCCTCAGGTCTTGTACACGGTTAATGGATAAATCTCTCCATAAAAATACTACAGGTTAGGGTCATGCGAGTTCCACAGGTTCTGTACGTTTGACCCAAATTGACTGATCTTACTTTATATATGCTTCCCTTAAGCAACATTATCAGGAATCACTCCATTAAACTTTCATTGGCTTATGCAGATTGACTTACGCAGTTAGTATCTATCGGATCAAGCCAAATGAATTTTAATCAATATTCTAAATACAAACATGTCTTTAAGGACCACTAAAATCCTAGGATGAGCCTGCAATTTTCTTTGCATGCCTAGGAACTCAGAAAAACAATGAAATTTCTTTTACTTTTTTGGCCCCGAAAAACCTTAGAGACTCACTGTTCTAAAGATATTAGCTACTGCTAGATGGCATTACCTTTGGCCTCCAGCACCACTGTCAGGAATCTTTGGGGAGTTATTCTCTTGAATTTCAGGAAATGATCATTACAGTTCCCACAATAAAGCAGCACCTGCTAGACTGCCTTTCTTTTTCATTCACGTAATATTACAAAATTAGACACATCCTGTCACCAGACGGGATGCAGAAAAACTCAATCCATTGGCATTTGTTACTTCTAGCTGGATTACTGCAATTCCTTATTATTCAGGCTGGCCCCCAATAAGGTCCATTAAGACACTCCAAATTAATTCAGAACGCTTGCCCCAGCACAAGTACTGACAGGGAACTTAGGGAAAAGGAAGATCACATCTCTCCTAACTAGCTTCTCTGGCACTGGGCTCCCTGTAAAATTAGAATAGCAATTTAAAGAACTCCTCCTCCTCACCTACAAAGCCCTGCTACATGGTCAGGCCCATGGCGCCCGTGCGATCATTCCTTAAGGAGCTCATAGACCCTATTACCCCTCTTAGAACAGTGCAGTATCTGAATGGCAGGCTACTTTGTGGCTTCCTGATAGGCTCTGCAAAAAAGTAGAACAGGAGGCCAAGAGCCCTTCACTTACCAAGCCTTTCCTCTCCTGTGGCAATCAAGCTTCCAAGTTGGTGGGTTCGTGGAGGCAGACACCTCGTCCACATTTGTAAGAGGTAGGCTTTATTGAGCGTTCGCTCTTTGGATAAAGCTGTATAGTTTAGGAGCTGGGCTTCAGGGTGGGAGGTCCTTGAACCAGGTCCTTAGTTTTGCTGCTATAGGCCTTAGGACTATCAAGGGGGAGTTCCCATTGATGCACTCAGCTCCTTCTCTTCCTCTCTCTCCCTTTCTGCACTCATTCATGTCCCATAATCATGTTACTAACTTCACTTTCTTCTCCGGGGATTCTTGCTGCTTCTCTGGTCTCGCAAAGGTGTCTCATGGGGCATCCTTTTTTGGTTGGGAGCCTTCTGCCATTTTTGCGTCCTGCTTGGGACTGCATTTGGCTAATATCACTGATATTAGTCTTATTATTTATTAGGTCATTCATTGTTGCTACAGTTACTGTGCTTGCTGCCTTGTCCGGACACGTTTGCTGTTTGTTCGTCCGTGCTTCTTCATGTTTCATCACCACAGTCACTACTATTAGTGTAGATTTGTTGCTACTGGTTGTTGCTGGCACCTGTCTGTTTTCTCTCTTCTCTCTCTCTTCTCTTCTTCTCTCTTCTCTTCTCGTGGTCTAAGCTGGGGCGGAGGCAGACGGGACAACCACCTAGAGCCCGGAAGGATCTGTCCTAGGTTTCTTGCCTCTCTGTTTTTTCCCTTGGGGGCCGCCCGTGCGCAAGTTGGCGGTGTGCTCATGTGAATACTGTTGGTCTCTGGTAAATGGTTTAGGCAGTGTCGGTCTTAGGACCGCCTCGTAATTTGAAAAGTGTCTAGAATAACTTCTGTTAATGAGGATTGGCGCTATACAAATAAAATGGAATTGAATTTGAAACTGATATTTGACGTTGAAGTTTGGTTTGGGTAACAAGAGCCGATGCATTTTGAAG